TATTACTAATTTTGCTTTGATCTAATTTTATATGCAACAGAGTTATTAAAAAAATGTGTGTACAAATCAGAAGCGTAAATAATACGAACTTTTACTTTATATACTCGTATTTAACCTTATATAATATTTGTCTAAAATTATTATGTAAGTAGGTACTTCAGATGTAATACTTGTTCAATCATTCACGTGTGATATTGACATTAGGATTCTTCAGATTTGAATGATGCATTAATTTTGAAGTGTTTGACTGAGGGTTATTAAATATCGAACAGAAACACGCGTATTTTACTTCTGGGCGTTGTTTATGCTTTCTATGTTATGATAACATGCTTTTTAAATTTGTGTTGTGATGTGAGTCTCTGTCATCATCGTCATTGTCACTATATTAATGTTGCGATCTTTTAACTGCTGGATCACAGACCTTCCCTATGGATGGAATAGGGAGACCCACCCCAACCCACCACGCAGGCCCAGTGTGAATTGGTGGGTGCTAATGACTGCAGATGAAGCCAATAATTTTTTGTCACCTATGCAATAACTGACCGTTTTGAAAGTTGCTTAACTTTCCACAATTCCAGCGAATGCTTTACCACCTGCGCCATCGAGTTCCTCGAGTGACTTTGTATTAACGATAATATAATAATACAATATGTCTATAAATACTCTGTCTAATATATAATTGTGTCAACTTTAAACTGGAAACGTCTTTTCTCACAGTGTTTCCCTACATTTTTTAAAAAGGTTGGATTTTAACTAAGTCGTATCTCTTGGTATTCATAATTTCTTCGAAAGCAGATCATTTAAATATTATATCCAGGGTGACCAAACCTACTTGGTTATTATCAATGACAGCGATGTATCATTCGCAAATCATCTCTCACCTCGTGTCTACCGTTAGCCTTCGAGCAATTCGCACGTCGTAAACTTCGGACTGGCGTCAATCGACTGCCTCTAAATTATTACTCAATCACAACTTCATGAGCTATAAACATTTCTATGTCTCAGTACTTACACCCAAAGAGATAATAAATTCCCGGACAATTAACCGAATCGTAAAATATAAGAGTATCCAATGCATTTATACGTGTACCGGATGTATTATGTTTCAATGGTGGTATTTTGTACACGTTTGACCTCTGTACCTTTGTCCCAGCTTTCCCGAGTTAGGAAGGACGCCCTGGATCGCATGGGAACCTCCTGCTCCTTATCTTGCGTTGTATCGAAATGTCGGCCATTATCTCTGTTTCGGGGTCCGGCTCTGAGGACCAACGTGTTGACATGTACGATCCTACCATGATGGATGCACGGGCGCCGACTATGTGAGGTCCGCCGCTGTGTTGTGAAAGCATGTTTCAATTTCACCTTCGGCATGTCAATGAAGGAACAAAAAATAAACTATCATTGCTACAATATTCACCCAACAGGTTCATTGATGTGAGAAAGATGGTTTTTTACTGATCATAATTTTATCCAAAGATGTTTTATGCATTTTGAAAATCAGTTGTTCTACAAGATAACTTCTAAATATTATGATTATCTTACATCTTTGTTAATTACTTTAAACAGTTTTGGTTAAATTTTTGGACTTTCTGTGTGACTGTTTTTTTTTCTACACGATTTATATTCTTTTTTGTCGCACTATCTGTAAATGAAATGCTCTGCCCGCTCATGTGTTCTCTCCCTCCTACAACCCGGGATCCTTTAAAAGAAGCGTGAAGAAGCAATTGGCAAGCTGGGGCAGGGCGAGGATGGCTGGTGTGATTGGTAAAACTGCTGTACTTCGCGTCTAGACTCTACCGTTACTTAACATCAGGTGGGGTGGATTCATTTATCGAACATATCAATAAAAAAAGATTTACAAAGGAGTAACTTAATTATAAGTACCTACAGATTTTGACGCCATATGTCCCTTGCCGGGTTGGCAGAGCATCAATGAAAATCTTATGAATAAAAACAAAGTATGAAACATCACTGACATAACCAAGCTACTATTGCCTTTAGTCAGAAGGTCTGAATAAGATTTTGTTTGGAAACAATATTTATAGTTTCTGAATATCGACTGTCCTATTACAATGTGCACTGGAAAACTAGCAGCAGGTGCATTTCTTTCACTCCCAGTTCAGCGTAGGGAAATGTATTTCCAATATCAATTCGTTTCTAATAAAGTGATTAGAATAGTTAATCCAACCACATAATTCAATAAACTATGTATCTTCACCGTATAAGGATTTGAGTATCCCGGAGATATGCCGGCATTAATTAGCAAAATTGAGTGTTAAATAATAATATGTTTACAATGATTTTATGGTCGCGTGTAATGGAAATACTCGTTATGGTCTTGTAAATTTGACGTTTTATGGGTCACAAACATTTTAAAGCTTATAATATGATATTTTGATTGCTTTTTATCTTATCTTTCGTAATCAACATTTTTTTATTGAATTTATAGTATATTAATTTTATTTAATTCTATAAAAGATTTCTTATGACATTATATTGCCTAAATCCAAGGATGTTTTTGGATTTTACATTTACCGCATAAAAACTGAAACCACAAAAAATTATATGGAAATAAAACATTGCCGTTATATCAATAAATGCTGTTGCCGATATATCAATGAAATACTACATGCATAACGGATCATAGATTATTTTATATTGTTATTAATTATTTATAATTAAAGTAAGTTCAGAAGGTGACATCATAATCAACAGCAATAAGTTCATTTGAATCTGATTGAACTCAGCGTATAGCAGTGGTTAGTGGCCGTCAATAAATGTGGCGGTTTTCACTGGCGCGGGCGCAGCAAGGAACATAAATTTTTCAAATAAGTCTCACAGAGTGCGGCAGGCAGGGTAGCCGCGGTGCGTGCCTTATGAAAAATACCTGGATTATAACCGGAGCCCGATTCGACGGCACGATAACGCGTATAGATATAAATTATCACACAAACGCAAGACGCTACTAATATTAAATAAGAAAGCATGTAATTCACCGGTACACCGATCTAATGCCCGAGCAATAAAATACACAGTTTTGACAGATTTTAAATAATAACGTCCGTGTAGAGCAGGAAATTGTACTTAGAAAGTTTCACTCCAGCGTTATTTTAAACTCGTTCAATGTTCACACCGACCTTGCGATTGATATATTGGAAGCAGTGCATGTTTCACAACTAATTTAATTGCCGATACACGTGTTACACAATAAACGTACTTTTTGAATACTATTATAACAGGTACCGTTACGTATTCATATAATATTGGGCTTGTAATATTACCGTTTTAATAATATTTATTCAAAGGCTTTCGTGACAACATGTAATTTCTTGTAAAACCAATTTAATGGGGAAAGTAATTCGTTGTCCTGTCGTTGACTATGAACCTTAAGTTATTTTTATACGAGGATAATGTTTTCTCTACATTTGAATATTATTATAGACTGGCCTGCAAAACTAAGTTTTTTTTTTCAAAAAAAAAAAAATAATTTAGAGATTTAAAATAAAAAAATCCGTTTTATACCAAATTTTATTAGCATTCTTTGAAACTGTAGTACAAAATTAAACTCTCTTTCGAGCCCTTTTTATTTCGAAAGTATATCTTGCGTATTTGAAAAGTTTTGCAATTTTATAAGTGTGTTTTTTAGTTTTGCATACCAGTGTATTATTGGTAAAGTAGGTCTCATATTAAAATGTCTTTCGCAAACATATTTTTTGTACAGCATTTAATAACATCATTGAATCTTATCATTACTCATAAAATTAGTTATAATTTCCCTGTTCTTCATTATTTATTCCGCTCAGTAACGTGCCTTTATAATTTTTGTGGAATCGTGACTTTATGCATAATTAAACTGTTTGTTCGTTGGCGCCACACGTCGTTGATTGTTTGGAATAGGTAACGTTATTGGTCCAAGCGCCAAATTTCCGTGAAACATCTTGTTAGCACAGCACTGTGATCGTTAATAGCCAAGCTCTATTGTTTCATGGTCCATCATAATTACATTTTCCTAATTTTACTTAATCTTTTCTGACGTCATTCTATTTAAGCGTTTTACGACATCAACGACATTCAAAGTGTTTTTGAGCCACTGTTTCCCTTAACGCAAATATTAGCATTAAAGTTACTTTTGGTTTTTGACTAAATTAAGTGTTTCATTTGCAATTCTTTTTGTAAATTATGTTAATAATAAAGAGAGGTTCCAGGAACCTCATCTTCTACCAATTCTATAACTTTTTGCATTTACTTTCGATTTGGTTCTCTTTTGGGAATACAGTTGCATAGTAAGTAGCATTCGTAATAGCATCTTTACCATTAATAAGCGTTTGATTTGACTTCATTGAAAACTTCATCCCTCTTCCAAAAACCTTAAACAATTTGAATCATTAGACCACCCTTGTGAGTTATTTAAGGAAACATCCCAATAATGCGGTGTTGGGGAATCTCGACAGTCCCTCTTGCGGACAGGCGTCGCTTATGAAGAAAACAAACATATTTCACGTGTTGGCAGAAATATGTAGTCCTCGGTCGGCAGAAACGCCTTGTAATTCCGAAACGCCCATCCAAACCACAGGTCGTGCGGTTTTAGGTGTAAAAAAATCGATTAAAGTATGGCGACACGCTGCGATCGATACATGATAATATTTCATTTCACTCGTGACAGCCAGTTAAGATTTTGTATTTTTGTGTAATTCCAATTATATATTTGATAGAAATGGCTGTTGCGATCACTTTACATCGCGTTTATTTTTATAGTTTGTTTCGTTCGAGTCTTGTCTAGACTGACGGCATTTAGTAAGCTTACACCTCTACTAATTTTATTGTTAATTCTGCTTTAATGTGCTGAGATATAGTGTTAAATATCGGGCTATTACTTTCCAATGAGGTAATTTATTTACTTTGGAGGATGGAGGTAGTATAATAAAGTCGCACTTCAGCGACATTGAGTAGGCTGCAACCCAAACGTTCAAAGTGTATTAATTTGCTTTGTTTACTTCCAGATTTATGGATGCCGTTGACGAGTTTGGAAAAGATCGCGGTGAGTCAAATTTTTGTTTATACAACGTGTTAACGCACTTCATTACTTTTGGGCCGTGGCTAATGACGGCTCTTGTGTGCGGACTCGCGTTGATGTTGCGGTTTTCTCTTCTTTAGTGGTCGTTCGAGTAAAGAGATCTCGCTTCGGTACACCGAGCGCAGGTAAGATCCGCTCAATATGTGTAGACGTGCAGTTTCTACAAAATGGGTGTGTTGTTAGTTCTCATGTGTTGGTGAGCTTTGTGTGTACTGTGGATGTGGGTTAAATTCATGAATCGTCGGAAGTTTAAGAGCCGCTCTGCGTGGGTGATGACGCCGAGAGGTGTTAATGCACGGCCATTGCCTAATTGTATTACTTTATGAGACCATCATAAAGAGTTTCGATGAACTGAGTCTTTATAGTCACTAATCGTTATTCTATTGTGAGCGTCCTCTTCGATAAATATGGCCATGTGTGCTAAGCGCGTAACGTGAATGTGGCTATAAAATGTCCAACTATTGTGTGTTGTCGCATTATGCAAGCCTTTCGATGTGTATTGAGGCATGCTGGTGGCATTGATCTATCTAAAAATTTATAATTCAAATATTTTGGTTATCTCATTATTACGACTGTCTTAGTCGATATTTTCATTTACTAATAACTTTGACTGGCTGCTGCAAATTAGTGAATTGCGCTCAATGCTATCAGTAGTGGGTATATAAATCACGTAAATATGTAGAAGACTTTTTTTTTTATTTAGTTAATGCAATCAACGTGTGCCATACAAACTTACCTCCATTTCTCCAGATTGATCTTTGAACTACTCCGGGTCCGACTCGCTATTTGATGTAAATTATTAGGATAACTTATATTTGCACAGGGTATACAATCACTCAGTTTCCCATAGATGAATTATGTAATATTATTAAACATTATTTTGCTCTATTTTTATGTATGTATTATTATAAAAATCAATGTTTTTTAATAGCATAGAACTAAATTACTTTTCTTCCATTTACGTACACTTGTATTTTGCAGCGTCATTACGCTCACGTCAATACTTCTCCAGCAAGTGCATCCTTATCACACATGTCCGACTCTACATACGATTTCAATTAAAGCCCGCTTCGATTTTAACGAGGAATGTGTTGCGGGCTCGCTGTCTGTAGACCTCTCCATCCCTACGCATTCGTACTTCTTTCATTTGGATTTGTACGGGCTGCGGGCGGCGGGAGGGGCCAACTTACGTTGGTTCATCAATAACTCATCGTAGTCAAAAGCAGCGAGTTCGGTCAGCGCGACCGAGATAATCGGCAGCTACACTTTTAATTACAGTGACACAAATCGTGGTTATCGACGTCTTCTCACGGTGCCGAACTCAATATTCAGAATGTTCATTAAGTTCTAATTACGATTGGTCGCCCTTGTTTGTCTTGATCGCCAGAACTAGCTTTTATTAGATTACGTGGGTAGTTTCGATTAATTGTGAGCATGTCGGTATCTGGTCGGCGGTTTTCGTCAGTAATGGTTGGTTGTCGGTGTCGTTAAGTAGATTGTGTGAGATGTATTTATTATGGGGATTTTAATAGGTCGAGGTTGCATTGTTGTTTATTCCAGAACTTTATAACCATGTATTTATATAATTATTTTGTCTTGAGTGTTTACTGATTTACTGTATGTTTAACTTGTGAAAATTACATTTGGAAATGTTACCAATATACTTAAAACCTAGGTACGTGGAGGAGAGTTACCTGATCTCACGTCACGATTGGCTATCTAGACTATCACCTCATCAGGAATATTAGAGATATTCTTGAATTATTCAAGTAAATACGTGTTTAAACTCAAGAAAGTACATATAAAAATAATTTCCCATTTCCCTTGGTCAAGCCATAACATAGAATGAATACCGATTTCATCTAACTTTTTCACAAAGTCGGATTTTAGGATTTCATATTTATATTGGACAGGACAATGTATGTCGGGTCCGCTAGTTTTTAATAATAATACAGAGCGAAGCCGAGAACGAATTATGGCGCTTTATTTTCAATATCAGATAGGGGTGTTCGCGGTACAAATCGTTCGATGCGATGCACGGCGGCGGTAATGCGACGATATTCATATTTCACACGGTATCGTTGCAGGATCGCAATCCTCCGCGCTGGCTCGATTTACGCGACTGCGTGAGGTGCGCGCGGCTCGCGTTTGCTACCGTGCGTGTGATAGGGGGTGGTCCTATTCATTGCACTCGTACACTTATAACCAGCGCAGCGTACAAATATATTAATAAAACTATTCTACGATGAAGTCTTACAAGAATTTATTAGACGACAAGTATACTTTTACAAGTAGCGTAAATACATACATAATTATATGAAACTACTTATTGTTACGATGAACTCTTAAAGAATTTAACTTTAACAGACGATAATGATCGCAGTTTTGTTACGTTGCTGTTTTGGAGAAATTGACTCTATTTTTCAACCGACGAATAAAAACGGAGGAGGTTATCAAGTCGACGCGTATATATATATTTTAATGTAGGATCAATTGATCACGCATTACTTTTTACTGAGTAATCTTATTTTGATAATTCCTTTTTATTGGAAAGAGGATATTCTGAAACTGGTCCCATATTAATATTTGAAAAAAACAACTAGTATTTAGAAATGTGACCATAAATATCTACGACATCCTACACTGCGCGTGGCACGCACGACACGCACTTGGCCGGTTTTTATTGGATAGGGTATACCTCAGAGTTGGTCCTAGATAAATTCGGAACAAAAAATTCTACTTTAAGGGTGGAGAAATAGGGGTGATTGTTCACTCACAGAACTTGATGCCGGGTTGTATGTTACAGAAATTAAAGTTAACTAGTATATTTCTAAAATATAACTTCCTGTCATCAGAGACAATTATATTTAGTTAGTGAAAATATTTTTATCGGGGCGGGTAGCGGAAGATCGAATCCCGTCTGAAACTTGGAGTGAGTGGATTTTTGGTAAATTCTTTAGATTTAAAACTACTAGCAGTTACACTCTTAAAACAAAAATATGATTAGTATATCTTTTAACCCTAAATTTTGTTATAGTATGAATAAGGTGAGGGTATTTTTAATTCGTTGTTGTTGTTTTATGATTTACACAAGGCGACTCGCTAATATATAAAGAAAAATGAATGCTAAAAATAAAAATATATTAACTCGCTATTTAATCAGATCAATGCCATTAGTTATGCATGCATTCAGATCTTGAGATGAATCTACACCTAAAACAGAATAAAATCAAGATGAAAAGTACTTTTCACTCAGTCAATATCCCTTTTCTTAAAGATATTTTCTCTCTTATAAAGTAATTTTGAAGATATTTTCCCTTTAAATAACGAATTCAAAAATGAGAAGTTTCTACAAAATGTATTAAGCTGACGTCACCAAGAATTGAGTCGCCCCAGAATCTAGTTGAAAAGTTTGCTTCATATATCGTCCAGCAAAAGCATTCCCAGAGATAGGTATCGGTAGTTACAAAGTTGCACTTTCGAACAGCGAGTACAGAGCAAAGTGACAAATGTGGCGAGACTCACGTCTGTTTATGAAGTGATAACGTTGTTACAGTTGCTGAAATACGAGCTTAGTTGCTGAAGTTATCTATGGCAATTCCTTCACATTATCTTGGCAACATTTAAGCTTGTAAAAGGATGTTTTGGTATTAACCTCTTTTGTCTAAATGGTAAAAAGTTGGTCGAATGTTGGTACAAACACGAAAACAGGATAGGAAAACATCGCAAATACATTGGCTCATGCCACGTATATACAAACTTTTGGGGATTAGCGGATGACGGCAGCGTGATGCAGGTACATTTGAAATCAGTTGGGTCTGATATTTATTTATAAAAATTGAGAGGTCTAAAAGTCTAAAAGTGATAGTGAAGTAATAGACTTACGTCTCAGTGCAAAAATTAGCAACAGATGCATTAGGTACCCAAATATTTAGCTCCCTGCTCAGAGTGAAAATAAAAGTAATAAATAATAACATAATAAAAAAAATCTTTCGTCGTAGCAAAATAGAAATCCAAAGGTATTTAGGTAATAGTGGGCAATAATTTCTGGTAATTGAGGAAATCATAAAAATACCGATCAAGATGTACTCACAATGTAATAATTAATGTTCACAAATAAGATAATCAGTCATCTGATGATCAGGGTCTGCCCACGCGCTGCGCCACCACACTAGGGTCTCCCAAATATTGACGCAAGCGAAATCATGTTTAATTTTAACGATAAAAATTAATTATGACCTATCTTTTATCAATTTTAGGCAGTATAAAAATTGATTCTGCTTTAAATTATTTTAGTCAGTTATTTTATGAATAGTATAAATAAGTTTAATTATATTATGCCTGATTAGCAATACTAAAACAAACGAAGTAGATAATGCTGTGTCAAACAATTGTATTAAGAAATAGTAAAGAAAATTTCATTATGCAAATTGTTTTCTTTTGTCGTTTATGTAGTTATTTTGTCTGACAACCCTGTCACCAAGTATGTGGCAATATGTACTAAGTACATCGTAAGTGCTTTGAATAATTTGTTGCTACATTCCAACACAGATTTATTTATTTAGGCAATGTAAGTACGTACTTTGAACGCTATTTATAATTTACGTGTTGTTATGTCATTTCATTTCACACATAGTTTTTGTTAACAGTAAGATAATGCATTGACTGAATTTGTCTGGCAGATAATGTTTTTAGTGTTAAGTCCGCCTTTTGTCCATTTTTGTAATTGAGGCAATAAATATATTGTTTTCAACTTTCATGGTCATTAACATTATAGTATTTTAAAAACAAGGTACATAGCAATCCCGTAAATTATATAAATTACTATTATGTGGCAATAGAGTTTAAATAAGTTATTATAATTTAATTATGAGGTGCTGTCTGTCTAAAGTCTCTGTAGGTCAATCAGGACATTTGCTTGTTCTTTGAATAAAATAAAGTTAAACAGTAGTTAAAAGGTTCGAGTTATGTTGACTAGCTAACATTTACATTAATTAGGTTTATCATTTTATAATGCATCGAAATGATGATTTTCTGCACTCGATCAGCTATCCATCATGCGACAAAGTCATAATACCTATCTTCCGAACGGGGCATTGTAACTGAGACATCAGTTGAATGCGTGTGGTAAAATCCTATTAAGCCGATTACCATGTATAGGGGTCGTGCGTAGGTGGCTAGTATCGATACCGACTCGACCACTTCACAATAGTCTCGATTGTCGATTGTCGATAATCGATCTACACTCGATGGCGATTGTCGTTCGTGTGCAATTGATGCGGTGCAATTTTCGACAGCCATAGGAAAGCGATTAACTGACAACAGAACCGAAATGTTAATACGTTCAGTTCAAGATTAGAACTGATGACATTCACAATAGGTCGAGATTTATTTTGAATAATTAGTAAATGTGAAACTTGCATTATTCTATTGCATTGTTAGTAAAATGTGTGTTGTTAAAAAAATGTTAAACTCGCGTCAGGACACGTGACCTGATCGAAAATTCATAAGACGGACGTCGACTTCTGCCGGCAACCCCGGAATGCAAACCGTCGTTTTTAGCACAAATTGACATTTGAATACAAATATCTTGTTTGCTTTTTTAATGGTATCTGTAGTTATCTTTGTTGGTCTATGGGTAAAACTACTGTTACGCAATAACGTTATTCATCACATAGCGTTATTATAATTACGTTACGCCTTCTTTTGATACCTTTTGTCTGTTTTTAGAAACGTGTTCGTTGGCTTGCAAGTAGTCTGTTCGTGTTAAACAATGTTTACACATGTAGTCTTTCTATGCTAAATACAAAAGATAAAGTAGTGGTTGTGTTTATTGAGTTGAAAATATTATTTTTTATTGGCAACCCTACGCTGTTTTATCAGTTGTATGCGAATAATTGTTTGTCTAACTGCGCTGAAACACAAATGACGCAGAGTTAACTCGAGTAGGTATATTGGGTTTTAAAACCAGAACAAACAAGGGAGGCAATACTAAAGCTTACGAAATAACAAAAACATTTACTTTTAAAAAGTCTCATTTGAAACTAAGTGCCCGCTTGCATTATCTCCGAGCGAGTTCTCTTGCAATTATCATTGCAGTCTGTTTGTTTCTGTAATTGAAAACATGTTCACTCGTTAATTAAGTTGCCGGCGAAAGCCTCTTGATGGATTGTTGTAAATGGAAATGTTTTTTTCTTTGTCGCGAGCGGACTTGGCATCCATTTACATGTGTGATGCCTTATGCATTACCTTTTGGCTCCGCCGTGGGAATTTTGCATCGACAATTTCACGTGTGTATCCTCGTTTTTTGTCTCGTGCTAAAGGCGCGGGTGATTTTTCACGCTTATTATAACTGCAGTGTCCCGAACAAAGATCTCCTTTATCCACATCGATGTTCGGCGTATGTAAATCTTAACTTTTGTTTTGGAGACAAATGGTTTTGATCTGTGGTTGCTTTTCTGTTTGTCTTCATCCTTGACTGGGATTCGAATGAAGCATTTGTCTTAATCTGAATGAGATTTTCACGGTGCGCGGTGGGAGAACGTTAAAAATACGGTATAAGTGATTGATGATGTTGAAAATAAACTAAAAGTTTTGAGCGAGATTTAAGGATGTTATGTTTAATTTATTATTTACATTAAACCAGGTGTAGGCCTGAATTATGAAACAGTTTCTTGAAACATGTCGATGTAGAGATGTAGGTACATATACATACAATTTGGTGAGTTCTTTCGTGTTACATCAAAGGTCTTCCTGAGGAAGTGTCAAACCACGGCCGCGACTTCCTCCCGTCCTTTCCCCCACCCTCTGCACCCCAGCGGGGCGTGTAAGGGGTGCGAGTCAACGACCCTTCTCCAACTTCGGTGTTTGCGGTGCGATTTTTAAGATAAAGTATAGTTTCCGTTTTCGCAAACCGCTGTTGGTTTGATAGGTATAAGGATTTATTGAAGTAGTGGACTTTTTCTGGAAATTCAACAATGTTACAATTTAAATTTAAAAAATATGTTAGATATTATGAAAAGATGCTAAAATGATTAAGGTTTTAAAATATGATAAACATTTCGCATAAGATATTAAATATATTTTTATTGTTTCAGAAAGCCTGATTGGTGTACATTGCACGCATGGTTTGAACCGCACCGGGTATATGGTGTGCCGGTATATGCGCGATAGAATGGGTTTCGACGCCAAGGATGCAATTCACAGTAAGTAGTAGTATTTCATTATCATCATCATTATCCCAAGACTAGTAATGTCCCTACTGCAGGAGCACAGGTCTTCCCTATGGATGGAATAGGGAGACTGGGCCATGCGTTTACACCAGCACTTGCGTCATCGAGCTCTTGAAATGAAGTATATTTACTGCTCTCCAATCCGCACTGGGCACGCGTGGTCACGGTCAGTAATGGTCAATCTTCTCATTCATAGAAAAGGTCAGTAGAAGTTGGGACATCAATAAGCTGATGATAGTTATTGGATTTTATATAATAATAATAATACATAAATATTTCCAACACTCACACCAGTTATAGTTATTAGTCTAGCCCCAAATTAAGCACTGTAAGGCTTGTGTTATGGGATGCTAGGGTAACGGATATAATACATGTACTGTACATATATAAGTATATTTATATAGAAATACATAGTAAACATCCATGACTGGAGTACAAATGCTCGTATTCATCACACAAACATCTGCCCCCACCGGGATTCGAACCCGCGATCTCTCGAGTCGGCGACACCATGAAACCGGGCGTACAAACCACTCGGTCACGGAAGTCGTCATTATCTTATTCTGTAGTTTTATTTTCCTTTTGTAAAGTTATTGTAGTTCCATGAGTTAGGGTAATTATTGTGTTCAGATTGTCAAGGTGTTGATTTCTAATGCTGGGGTGACACTTCTCAGTATCGCACTAGCTATTATTGTATTTTCAGTGGACTGCAATGCGAGGTCTTCCCTTTCAAGAAAAGAAAAAAATTACCAAAAAGATTTGTCATATACTCAAATTTTTTTATAGGGTCATAAAACCTGATGTTAAGTGGTGATAAAGTCCAAACGCGAAGATAGCTGGTACAGCAGTTATAAACTGCTACACCAACCACCCTCACCTTGCCGGCCTGCAAAAATGCTTCTTCACGCTTCCCAAAGGACCCCAGATTATAGGAAGGTGATTTACGAATAGTACGACTTAGAAATGAGTTAACAAATTTCTGTGTTAGTGTAGGAATATTGGCCATAGTAAGTCGGTGGCAATGTAGGCCAGAGCGCGTGGTCCACTGGAGAAAAAAAAATCTGATACTTCGATTTTTTCTTTAGCTCCATCTGTATATGTAATATGTATATATATGTGTGTGTACAATGTATACCTATACGTACATATACATATTTGATTTACAAGCTATAAGAGAAAGAGAAAAGAAAATGTGCGCGCGCACTGCTTTCTCTTGTTTATATCGGGGATAAAGCAAGTATACTCAACTCACGTTCGCCTCGACCGATCACACTTTTCGTAACGCGTTCGCCAGCTTACTCCCCAAGTCAAGCGTGCGTTAAGAAGTTTCACTTCAATAAATATTTTCTAAATATTAGTTGTTGTTAAAGCGTAGGACTTGCAGAGATAACTTTGAACTTGTTTTCATGTTTGTTACAGAATTCGAAATTGCTCGTGGCTACAAAATTGAAAGGGACAATTATATAGCACACTTAATTGGACTTAAACCACCTCCACCAGATTTGGGGAGCACGACAAAAATAGTACCCAAATCACCACCCTGCGACGATCACCATCTCAAAAGTAGTCATTATAATGACAGACGAAAAAATGGTGAAAGTGAAAGAAAATCTCGGAGAGATGAGTGGTCAGAGGACAATGAAGATTCTTATCACAGTGGTAGATACGTAAGACATCCCCAACGTACCAACTCAAGAAATGAACCTCGAGAAAGAAGCAAACATCGGCGAAAAAACTCTTCACAAAGTAGAAGTTATTCCAGTTATTATGGGAAGAATAGGAATAATTCTGACTCTGACAGTTCATACGGATATGATTATAGGCATGATTATTGACAGTAACTCAGTTAACAGTTTTAAAACAGTTTTATATAAATAGTGCTGACAAGGACTCGAATCTTAAGGGTTATTTTAAACTCAATATTTTGGGGCATTAACAATTTTATGCCATTATAGAATATGTCTTTTTCGAATTAACCTTAGTAAAGAAGTGATTTAAAAAAAACTCGTACAGATTACCTACAATACCGACATCTAATTAAATTAAATAAGGGTTAATAAACAATGTATAATTTTTTTGACTGCGTCTCGCTGACTCTGTCAAAATAACTAAGGACATTTAAGATTACGACCCAGAAGTCCTAGTCAACACTGCTTGCAATCGAATAATAGTAAATTATTGTCTGAGTTCTTAAATGTAATAATAGATGAATAATAGTTTTCGATTATGTGACCCGGTTAAACCAATATCTATACAGTGTATACCTACTTTTATTTTCTAATTTAATTATACATCTTGAATTGTACATTTTGTCACTATGTATTTTCCAAAATAAAGAAACAGTTTCGTTCGTCTATATCAAAACTCAAATAAAATTACTTGTAATAATATGGCAAGGATTTTTTCCTCGCGATTAATTTATCAATGGGAAGTAGCCTGAATAAAAAAAAATATCCTCTTAAGAAAGTTTAATAGGGATGATGACTACCTAAAAAGTATTGATCAATTTTTTTTTTCTTTGTTCACATAGTCAAAACATTACACAGATATAATGTCATGTCTTTTGACGTTACGTCTTGTAACAGTTTTTAACTAAGACGCGTCACGCGAGATCTATGTCCAAAATTTGACGCGCTTGATCTTAGTCATTTTTTGGTTGATTGACAAAAGAAAAATACGCCCTAATAATTTTTTGATAGAAGAGGTAGAATTTCGTTTACTTTAAGTACCCTGTAATGCCTATTATTAAGATATATTTCTATGATAATTGATTAAAATTGGTCATTAAACAGCAATTAGTATTTTAAAAGCAAATAAAGAATCTTTGAATTAAATGCAACTAAGACAAGGAGTAAGTGTGGTGGTGGGAGCAGATTTCGGTCTCCTTTGCACCTCTATTGTCTTTCTCTTTTATGTAATCTTTCCTTCGACAATGTTTAGAAGTTCCGTAACTGATATTGAATAATAATAATCATTTACTCATAACCCACCATTTCACATTTTATTTAAGTAATTATTAGTCTAATAAAGTCTAGGGGTATACATACAAAAAGCTCAAGAAATGGACCCCTAACCCAGAAACTAGTAAAAAACTGTATTATCAGGGTTAGTGATTTACATAAAATCTTTTGTTTATTTTAGATTTTTTACTATACCTTCCAATCAATACGTATACATGGTATAAAAAGTCTCTTTCCGTGTCTGTCTGTATATCTTGTTGTTGCTTGTTTAAATTATACAAAAATCACAACACTGACTGCTTTGATATGTGCGAAAGATTTCTTTTTTCCTACAAAACAGTACCTAGTTTTATTTTCCCCATACTTCCTACAAAACAACGTCGAGATAATATTTATTTATCGTCATCTCATTTCTAGTTTGTGTCGAAACAACTGAGATTTAGATTTACTTTCATGTCTGTCACGATTGGTATCCGAAATATGCGCAGCGCAGGTCAAGTGATATTTTCATAATAGCTGATGCTTCATGAGAACGAATCTAATTATGGTGTAGTCGGTATGATCACGTAGACACGCGTGCGAGATTGTATCTAGATGGTGCGGCGGCTCCGGGCGTCTGAGACAACATGTGCTGACACATCCAGCTTTTGTACGCATCAATATTGTTCATCACAAAACAAAATGTAAACATTTTTTTCTAGTATTTTTTTTTAGATTTACACATCTAGCAGTTAAATGCTTAAAAAATTAAAATATATACATAAAATGTCCTTATATGGTTTAACTTGAAGTGCCTTGCGGTTTCACCTGCAATAATATGAGGAAAAAGGTCAACTAGGTAGTGAGTAAGTCAATAGTAGACAACTAGATAGAGATGTTGAGATAGAAATATGCTGTTGATTTTTTTTTTATTTCTATAGCACATTTTTTTAGAGAAGTTGCGACAAATGACGTCAGCTCTCCTGATGTTAAGGTACGCGTCTTTACTTCACAGATGCGAAGATTGCTGGTACAGCAGTTGTACTTGCCACACCAGCCATCCTCACCCTGCCGGCCTGTATGTTGCTTCTTCACGCCTCTTAAAGGATCGCAGGTTGTAAGAGGAAGGGAACACGTGAGCGGGCAGAGCATTCCATTTACGGATAGTGCGACAAGGAAATAAAATTTAAAGAGGAAAGATACCTATGTATTTGGACCGATATTGGAATTTCTTTCACCATAAGAAATCTGCACTAATCCCGAGTAACAAGGGCTATATTTTTAGCGCATTTCACCCGTGGAATGCCGGGGCAGGTCAATTCTCCTTACGTACATAATAGCAGATTTCCTGCTCGAATTGGAGTGACCATCTGTGGATATAACCTCAATCTTACAGAAGATCACCCACACCTAACATAACATCACAGTGAAGTAACACTACTGTTTGGTAGTGATGTGTTCATGATAGTAGTCTCAGGGTAGACAACGTGCTTGGGATTCTCTGGTATATTTAGCGTCTGTGTTAGTGGTCACTTACAATCAGGCCGGCTAAATACTCACTTGCCACTTCTTTTACTGAAAACGTTGTTATAGGAAACAATGACAGGTCGCCAATAGACTCACCTTAATAAGACTCCGAAACTTCGTATTCCTATGTATGTAAATAGTGCTGGCGAGAAATCGAATCTGAGCATAAAGAACGCACCTAGCACATTTTGTGTATACTTCTTTGATTCAATGTTTAGCGTGATCATTTTACCGATTTTCTCGTTGCATACCGCAAGAGGCAATATACGAAAGGCTTTCTAAATTTTAAGGGGTGGTTTTAAATGTATATTATATTTACGGTAGGTAGATGATTACATTGAATGGCAGAAATGAGCATGGAATAATAAACAATGATTCAGTTACATTAATCATGTCGTCTAAAAATATCCATGAAGTTTGAATTATAAAGAGATGACTAAATTAAACAAAGTTATATTTATACATGCCCATTTAGAATTCCGTGTGTAATAAAACTGATTTAACCTCCACCTGATCTGATGACCTCTAGATTGCCCTTACGGAAAAAATCGTGGAAGAATCTAGGTTGAATTATAATTGTACCAAAATCGTCGCTGGACCCATACAAATGATACGTGATGGTAGGTAGTCAACGGGAGCAAGCCTTTGTTCTATTATATCTTAGGACAATAAAGCGAATCATGCTTTATCTTTTTGGAAAATGGAAGCAGACGTAGAATGAAGTGATGTCGGTAACAGATCAATAATGTAGACATTTGTCGTCCACTATATGTTGCACAACGCTGTTGGGTGCAAGTCGGACGATAACGGCTAACGGCCCTCTGTTCCGAGTCCGGCTGCGAGTGTCAAAACATAATGCTATTCTTTGTGATAAGGTGCAAGTAAATTCTATTCAAGTTTTGTTTAGTATCGAATTATACTCTAATGGGTATATTAAATAGAACTCCGCCATGTTGGAGAGACAATTCCATTACTTATTCAGATTTGCAAATATTTAAAATGAAATTCTAGGTAGGTATTCACCCTTTTTTATTCATCTTTTATTTAAATAGGTACTAAATATTATCCTGCGTTATAAACACAATGGGTAATGGTAGGTATACCATGTATCCGAATGTATGACAAATCATACCCGAAATTTTTAAAGCAGCATTTGTTAGTGTCAGGACTTGCTGATCCTAGTTTGATGTGTAGTCATTATTATAAGAAAAAACGACTTGTATTAGTATGTTTAAGATTGATTTCTAGTTCCTTCCTGTTTTATATAGTTTAACTAAACCGACAGAATGCACAAACTATTGCATTGTTTGTATTTTATTTTTTTAATAACGTAAATATTCCGTTCGCTAAGCAAAAAACATCTCGCACATTGCTACCGTGTGTTTTTTATTTAAAATTACGTAAAGATGATGAGATAGATAAAAGTTCACGGTGTCTGCGCCATATCTCTATGAGCAACTGTCTTTTATGTAACAGAAAATTCCCTTGGGTAACCAGACAGACTCAGTTGCAACATTATTCATTTCATTAAATTTGCATGATCTAACTATTGTCAGTGCCTCAGTGGTAACGCTCCAGGTTGTACATAACTATCTGATTTATTTGTGGCCGATACGGTTGCAACTTTCTAGTTTCGTTGGATATCGTTGTAGTTATAGCTCTATTGTTTTGCTCCGTGGCGGAGATTATGAGTGCTTCGGGTAATTTACTTGCGACAGTCATGTGTTATGAGTATCGCCTCTTGGCGTTACTGTGGTAATGAGTCGCAATACTCGCGTGCGAGTCGACAGCCGCCAATGACAGTTTAGGATGAGCGATTGATGTGAAGAAACGGCGTTTTGTGCAATCAGTGAGTCTCTGTTGTGTGCGGGTTTTGTACAGGTTCGCGGTCACCGCTGAAATATTAAGAGAGACCAGAAGAATTTAGAAAGTAGAAATTTTGCATTGTGTTCTGTTTTATTTCTGGTAAATGTTCTTCAATTGTCATTGTTTCGTTTAGGCTCACATAGAGGTTTTAAAAACTTTTAGAAATCAAGAGTTCAGATCCTAACTGTAAAATTGTTTTCCAGCTCGAGTCATTCCAACAAAGTACAAAGTATAGGAAATTGTAAAAAAAAACTGAAAATGATAAAAAATCTTCTGATTCTAGCTGACATAATGAGTACCGTTTGTCCTAAGGAACTCGACTTAATGACGAGTACAAAAACTCCTCGGAGTTCTATTTGACATTCTCACGGTATTCCTTCTCTCAATGACAGGCTCTCTCAATGATTCATGATCATGATCGGAGATTAATTTTAAACGTACGACCGAAAAAAGACGTAAATTAGTTTCACTTTGTTGGCCACTAATAAAGTAGAACATCTCAACTGGTGTGTTATCTAATATTTTTGTTCTGGATCTTAACTACCTGGCTTTCGTCAGTGATCCTCCATAGTCCTGAGTGACGTGGATGACTATTTAATTTATGTCCATTA